AGTAGAATTCCAATTAAGCTAAACCTGTCTGCCTCTCCCACCGAAGGTCTGAAGAGAATTCAGAAAGTGCCACCCGAGGGTTGCCATTGGAAATAGACAAATAGTATTGAGCAGTTCCATCATCAACCTGCATGCTTCGCCTTAAAGAGTCAATTATCCTTCTTTTGCCCTTGTCAGACGTGACCTTGTTCAGCAAAGGTCCACGCTTATAGTCAGGCCGACCTTCAAGATACAGAACTGCAACTTCTCTCTTCGCATAGGTATCCATCTCTATGTAGCATGTGCTATTTATAAGAATTTCTGGATTGCTTATGGGGATTAATAACCTGTCTCTTGAATATATTCCGTGGTCACTCATCATGTTATTCAAGCGCTTTATGTCCATGAGCTGCAAATACAAAAAATATATATATGGTCAAGGTAATTTACTTGACAGTGAGTTCCAATAGCGGAAATTAGAAAAGATTGACTGTAACAATACTCCACCAGAAAGAAAAAGATAATTGCAGTACTTGAATAGAAGGCCTGAAAAAGAGAAGATGGGGGGAAAACTTCCAATACATTGAATAAAACCTACAAAAAAAAAACAACTTTGTTGTCTATTTTTATTTCATTATTCGGAACAATCATTCTTTTTTTCTTTTGTTCCTCAGAGCTAGAACAAGATAACCAGTGCTGTGTTGAAATGTTTTCAATTACTTAGCTTAGTAGGCCATTACTGCCATCTAGACCAATTACATGGCCAAATCAAAACCAAACAATGGAAACACTGGTTGTCCAATACTTTCTAGAAAATGGAATTACATCAGTTTTAAGTTACCTCATGGCCATGGTTGTAATACCCTTAACAGAGATAAATTTGTCAAACCACAGAACAAATTGCTTATTCCCATAACCATTAGTGTCTTTCTAATGGCCTCATTTTGTCAGCAACAAGCTTGACTATAACTTCAAGTAGCCATAAACCTAGCCATCACAGCCAATCTTGACCTACAATTCACCATTCCACATCTAATCATTACAATCATGGTAACTAATATTCTCTCCGCCAAGATAATTATGTAATGAAGCTCCCGTGTCCAGGATCCGTAACCACCATCCCGTCTAGCACTTCATCTTCAGCTTCATTTCCTCCATTAGTACTCTTCACCAATGCACCATTGATCATCACTTCGCATACAATGTCAACAAGAACAACACGCTCTAAAAATGTCACTGGTCACAAAGACCAGTCAACTGAAACTAAGGACCGTCCAACTGCCTTAGGATTCTAAACCTTCCACTACCACATAGCAAGAACAGAACTCATATCACCCACCACGCACCAGCAGTAGCAGTAGCACTAATACCTTGAATATGATTTGGAAGAAACAAAAAGGGAAACTAATATCAAGTAACTTCCTTACCCCACAGTTTGTACAAATAAAACATGTTTCTTATGATAATTAAAGAGATAATCTTTCAAAGTTTGCTCTTAAGATTCAATTCGAATCCTCTCCAAAATTAGCAGCACTAAAAGAAATTAAGAAAAGAGTAAAATTTCCCATTTATCAGCTTTCTTCTAAGCTGTCTGAATACCCACATACCTGAACCGAATACTTAACAGCGAGACTGGCAACGGAATCCCCTCTCGAAATCCGGTGTGAGATGGCGAATTTGCCGATTCCATTGTCTCTCCAGAAGCTCCTAGAAGTGGGCCTCCCCACGACCTCCTTAAGCTTCCAGGGGGCCTTGAAAGCCCCCACCACCATCTCGTCACCAGAGGCTACGGCGTTCCAGGCCCTACACACGCAGCTGGAGCGAGCTAGGTCAGTGATGGAGAGCTTCTCGAAGATGAGCCGAAGCGTGTCACGACAATTGAGAGCAGAGAAGTTGGAATTCATGGGTGAGATGACTGCGGACTCGCCGGAGGGGAAGTCGGATGAAGAGAGGGGAATAGTTAGGTGTGATTCTTCCTCCTCGTCGTCATGGTCGCAACAGCAGCCCATTTCATGAGAATTCAGGGAATGAGAGTGACGGAAACAACAAAGAAAATGTCAATGTTTCCTTGCAACTTTGGCTTGGAATTTGGAAACTGGTGCCAAGAAGATAAAGAAAGAACGTCTTTCTTCGATGTTTTTCGGTTTGCACTGTACAGTAGTGAACCGACTAACTATTGCTACGAGTAAAAAAAGTTCGTTTATTTTTTAGTAATTTCTTAAATTCAATTCTTGTGATGAAAAAATAGTTATTAAGGAAGTTTTCTTTTAATGAGATCGAAAAGACATAATTTGATTTTAAATTAATTAAAATTTAATATAATTATTAAATATTAAAAAATTAATAACAAAAAAATTAAACAGTAATGGTTTTGGAAATATTAACATTTATACTAAATTTAGTTTAATAAAGATATTTAAAAATTTTTATGATCGAAAACCGCCTACAAAAACGCTTCTACTTTTAGAAAATGGTGTGAAAATTAAACATACAAATTTTAATATAAAATTTATATTTATACTAAAATTAATTAGTGTAAAGTTACCTTTTTATATTTAAATTACAAAATTCTTTTCTACAATATATAAATCATTTATTTAATACTGTAATTTTTCTTTTTTGGTCATGACAGCAAAATAAGTACTCTTTAAAATTTTTTTTCTTGTTTACCCGCCTATAAATTTTATGCTTAATTGCTAAAGTATTTTCTATTGTTCAAACTTTAAAAACCCTTTCTAAAAGAATTTTAGGGAGCAAAGTTTTTTTTTTTTTTTTTTTAAGCAGAGTTCTACCTTGTCCAATCCCAAATCAATATTTTTATTAAACTTATTAGTTATTTATAATTAATTTTTTAAAATTTTAAATTATATAATAAAAAATAATTTCTTTTTATCTCTCAATTTATACTATCTGCATGCAATACAACTTAAAATCATTATCTCTTCCTAGCTTTTAAAAAGTAAGCAGCAACAGTATGATTGGAACTTGAAATGCTTTGGTTTGACTGGATGACAACCCTTTCTTTCTTTTCATTTCCCTGATACTAAAGAGGCTTTTGTACCAACGATCTGTTGGACCGAATGGAAAAAGTTTGGTTTCCTTTAAGTAAAGTCTTGAGTTCGAGTCTTCTTAATGGAGAAACAGACGCTGAGAGAGCTTCTCCCTTAATGGGATCTGACGCGACTCGATTTCAGATTAATCGAGACCAAAGTGGTTACCGGATTAATCGAGACCAAAATTTTCGTTCACTGCAATACTGCATGACTTCTAATTTGTTTTGTTTTCAAACAAAGAAGTTTCAAAGATGTTTTTTTTTTTGGTAAGAAACACTCCTTTCCTAAATCCTTCGTCCATGACCACTGCTCGCGTTAATTCTTTGAAACAAATAAAAAGGAAAAACAGAGCTCTATATCCTTCCTTAATAAGAAAGATTTTAATGTTACAACACTGAAAAATCCTCCAAGCAGCAGTAGATATCACAGTAGCAGCACTAGACAGAAAAGACATGGGTATATTAACTGCCATTCATTAAAAAGAGAACGATCAACTACCCCATCCATGACCAAGCCCATATGCATCCATATAACCCCCACCCTGAGGATGTGCATGGCTACCATGATGACCATGGCCACCATTACCATGATGATGGTGATCATGGTGATCATGGTGATCATGGTGATGGTCGGTCGCCTTCGCTTCATCCAACATCTTCTGAATATGCTCGGGGATTGGCTCTTCCTCAACTTGTCTGACTGATTTTGGTAATGAAGAAATGAACTGGGCAATTGTTTCAGCTAGTTCATCAGTAGCATTTCCCTGAGAGAGGAGATATAATGCAGGTGTGAGTTCTAAATACAAGAATCTATCTTGAGGAATCAATTGCTGTATTCCTACGTGACAAAAAAAAAAAGCAATGTATTCCTATGTGATGATAAAAAAATCAATGTATTCCTATGGATAATTATAAGCAAAACTGCAAGCAGCAGATAATCATCCATCAAGAACTCCAACTGTGAGGGAGAAAACTAAAAAAGAAAGAACCATGAGCACACAGGAAAACATCAATTTTGAAACTAGAAAAATAAGCAACTGTCATGTCACTCTATGTTCCTAACTAGAAAAAGCACTCAGTATTCTTTTAAATCTAAACTTCCATCTGCAACATTATGAGGCTGACTGCCCCTAAATCCCCAAATGAATGATGTGAATAATAAGAATGTCAGCAATGGGGGTTTAGTTCATCAACCAGAGACCTCGGTAACTGATTTCTATTGAGTGGAAGAAATGGATGAGTCAGAATGTAGAGTTTCAGATTTATTTTACAGTAAACTATAAGAAAACAGAAGTATGCAAGGGAGCAAAAGCAGGAGCATGATAGTGCTACCATCCACAGGCACTTGGGGGTGTCTGGCTGGAGACAAGATGAGAAGTTGAAATTCATCTCCTCCACTAATTTTATGTCCTTCCCTCTCTCTGTCTCTTGGCAAGCTAGACTTTGTAAATCTTTCTGCAGTCTATCTATTTTCGACATGTAACCATAATGAGGAATGCTCAGAGATATTCCTCAATTTGAGCAGTTGGGTTAATTGGGGAGGGGTAGGACAAGGTCAGTAGTTCATATTTTTTAACTCCTTAAGCAGGATCAAGACACTAAGAGGCATTGCTCAATTTTAGCAGTTAGGTGCATAGGGGTGGGATAGGAGAAGGTCAGTAGTTCATAGTAACTCCTTAAGCAGGATCAACACCAATAGTCAAAAGGCAGTCACTGGGGCCTGCAGTGAAGTATTGGTTTCACCTGCCATTACTAGAGCCAAGGAAAAAGGAAAAAAGAAAACATTATGATTTCCAAAGACAAAAGAAACATGATCTTCTGCACAAGTCTGAGGATGAGGGTACAATTCACTCAATTGCTGAAAGTTATCCTGTGGTTTAGCATCATTTAACATCAACTCTATTCCTTCTATGCATCTTCTTAACAAACTTAAACCATTTTCCCATGATCTCTCCCCAAACATATTCCAGATTGGCAATAACTGATCTAAAATAATCATATGACCAAAAATTACAGCTTCAAAACTGTTGTCCTTCTGTTGAACCACAAAATACCTTCACTTCTAAACACAAAACCCATAGTTTAAGCATTAAACCATTTTCAGATATTGTTACAAAACCGTTAGACAGAAGCATATAAAACTAACAAATGCAGCACACAACTTGAAATATACTCTACCATAAAAACTAAACAATTTCCAAGAGCCAGTGACACCTTACCTGAGGCCATCGCCCACTAGAATGCGCAATAAATTTTGCCTGTGGGAGTGCCTCAGCCACCCTTCGCCCCTCTTCAGTCCATTCATTGGACCAATGACTAGACCAAAGCAACTGCATTGGAATATCTTTAATCCCATCCAAAGCACCCCATTCTGCTACGTCAAAGCTATAATTCAGCCTCTTCCCCATCCCAACAACTGCCTTCCTACCACCCCTTCCCTTCAAAAGTACTCGATGTGCCTCCAACTCTGAAAAACCAATCTCCTTTGTGCAGCACATGCCTATCAATCTCGAGTAGGCAAATGAGAACCCCAAAATGACCTCTCTAATCACAGGTATATCCAAAGCCCACAAAGGCAAAGCTGATCTTAATCCAGTGTCAATAAGTGTCACACTCCTAACAGACCTTGAATTATCCAAAATCCAACTTGCACCCATATTCAAAGCAGAATCATGCAACACCAAATGCACAGAAGCTAAACCTAGTGCCTCAATTACTTGTCCCAAAACCTTACCCATCTCTTCACTACTCAATTCAATCACTTTAACACTCTTTCTTTTTAAAAGTTGAGACTCAATCTCCTCATAAGGTGCCCGTCCAGTCTCAACCATTTGATCAAATGCCCAAAAGACACCCTTTTCTTGAATCAAATCATAAGCCTGTCTAAGCCTCCCTAAAACCCCTACCTCTCCTTCCACAATCTCTACTTTTGATTTGTCTGAAAACCCATTTCCAGGCAAATCAACAGCAACCACGCGAACCCCTTTTGACCCCAAGGATCGAATGATATCACGATAAGAGTAGGAACTTAAACCTAACCCATGTACAATAACAACATTCTCTGCTACTGAAGCACCATGTTCAACAAAAAATACCTCAATTGGCGATTGGTTTGGACCCGTTTGAACCTTAATGATGCGACCATTTGAGTAATGCTGGCGAAGTGAACCGGGCAGTGAAAGAAACCACGATTTTGGGTCCTCTGAAGAGAGGGAGGAATGAAAGCTAAACAGAAGGGTGATGAGAGACACAGTGACAGTGAAGTAGAACCAAAATGCAAATGGGTTTTCAGTCTGCGGCTTTGGGTTTTGACTAGAACTAGAAGTAGGTTTTGGGGGCTCAGAAATATTCTGCCTTTTGGGTGAATCTGGCTCTTGCTCCTCTGTTATGATCGCCATCAATCCTAAAGCGCAAGATACAGAAGCAAAAACAAGAAGGAACCCAGTTCAGAGAGAGAAACCATAGATTTGGAAGATTAAAAAGGCAGTACCTTTTGCAGTTCTTCGTGGGTCTTCAAAACGACACCGTATTTTCCGGGCTTCCCGTTTATTCCGGTTCTTGCAAATAGTCAAATACGAGGTTTGCCTTATCCTCTTTCTCTGCAGGGAAAACTCTTCGTTCTGCTACAATGCGGTCTCTCCCTTCTCAAGCCATGCTGACTCTCTCTCCGTCTATATCTTCGGCCCGCTTTCCTTTCCTCTCTGTATCGCTGCCCATTTTCCCCAAATTCAAATTCAACCCCATAATTTATAGAAAATCAGAAAAGGGTCCTCCTTTTATGGCTGTTCGATGTTGCAGTTCTGGTTCCATCACTGCAAAGCCGTCTTCGGAGATTCGCAGGAAGCACACTGAACCTGAATCTGATGACAAGCTTCGTGCCCTCCGCGAGCACTTTTCCAGGCATGGAATTGGTATTGATGCTTATATCATCCCTTCTCAGGATGCCCATCAGGTTAACATAGTGTATTTTGCTCTTTTCTTTTCTTATTTCTAGCTGTTTGTGTTAATTATATTTACATTTGTGTATATGTATGCACGCATGTTTGATGTAAAAACATATATTTGCTCTGTTTGGGGTTGTGTCTTTCCTCGAATTCAATAGAATAGAATTTTGGTTGTTTTGAGCAACTTGGTTAGGATGTTAAGCTTCACTGTTTCAAGTTTTAGCATTCAAGGTTCATTGCCTGCCTCAACTGTTAAATGTCTAGATTTGGGTTCAAAGCAGTGTTTTGTTGTTGAACTTGAACAAGGTTTTACTGTTTGTCCCTTTTGAAATTGGCTGTTTTTGTGCTTCATTGAAAAGATCTAAGGTGCGGCTTCTTCATTGTACAATTTAAAATTTTTGATTGTGCCATTTTCACTTAAATCTCCCATGAAACATCCTTGTAATGGTGAAACTTACTATTCAAGATGGGAATGGAAACGGACCATTGTTTGAATTTAAAGGCACATGCATTCCCCACTTATAATTATCAGGCTTATGTTTTGCTGGTACTTAATTTGTTTTAGTCATTTTCTTATCTCTTGTTATCATGTCCAATCACTTCAACATTTTGGTTTTCCAGAGTGAGTTCATTGCTGAATGCTATATGAGGAGGGCTTATATATCAGGTTTTACTGGCAGTGCTGGGACTGCTATTGTCACAAAGGATAAGGCTGCCCTCTGGACGGATGGTCGCTATTTTCTCCAGGTTTTGTTTTGAAGTCAGCTTTTTTTCCAGTCCTTGGTTTTAATTGCACAAGTGTCCTGCTCGGTTTAACCTTATTCAGAATATTTCTTCCCTAATTTGTTATATAATTAGGCTGAAAAGCAGCTGAACTCAAGTTGGATGCTCATGCGTGCTGGTAATTTTGGAGTCCCTACAGCAAGTGAATGGCTTAACAGTGTTTTGGCTCCTGGTGGCAGAGTTGGTATTGATCCTGTGAGCAATCTTTTTATCTTTCTGACAATAGGTCCATATAATGTATCTTTAACAATCAATTGACCATTTGGTCGTTCTTTCATGTCCTTGATGCCACCCTACCTCTGATATTGTGAAGGGAGCAGTTTCTGTTTTCTTCAGATGCTGCAGAGGAATTGAAGGAGGCTATAGCTAAGAACAATCATGAGTTGATTTCCTTGTACGATTTAAATCTTGTGGATGAAATATGGAAAGAATTGAGACCAAAACCTCCAAACAAACCAATTAGAGTTCATGATCTAAAGTATGCCGGTCTAGATGTGGCATCCAAATTGTCTTCCCTGAGATCCAAGTTAGAGGGTGCTGGTGCATCTGCAATTGTTATATCCATGCTTGATGAAGTTGCTTGGTTGTTGAACTTGGTAAGAGCTTGATAAGCCTTTTTATGCTTGCTTAATTAGCCTTTACATCTTTAGAAGCTAATGTGCTTATGGACTTTATTCCATCAAAATATGTTGGAATGCTGGAGACACTATGAAAAAATGAAAATCTAATGGCACTGATATTGAATATTCACTGAATTAGCTCAGTGTTTAAATAAGTATCTTAATTAATCATTAAGGTTTCCTCTTTGATTTACATCTCCAATTCACATGATAATTAAAGGTATTGCTTTGCAGAGAGGAAGTGATGTTCCACATTCGCCTGTTATGTATGCATACTTAATTGTGGATATAAATGGAGCAATGCTTTTTGTAGATAACTCTAAAGTTACACCAGAGGTGATGGATCACTTGAAGAATGCTGGCGTAGAATTGAGGCCATATGATTCCATCCTTTCTGAAATAAAAAGGTAATTTTGGGGCCTCAGGCATCTTTCATTGGGAGCATTATAAGTTTCAAGTTTGTGAAGAATTGTATACACCTTTCTATTTGAAGAACAAGAATATGAATTATGGTGGTGTTGTGCAAAATTTAGCAAACATAGATGTTCATCTTTGTCTTAGATACAACTTTTTAACCACAACCTTTAGCCTGCCCTTATGTATGTGGTATAGTAAACTCATTTTATAACCACTGAAAAATAATTTCCTTTTTCAGATTAGCGACACAAGGAGCTTGCCTGTGGTTGGATACATCCTCTGTTAATGCTGCTATTGTAGAGACCTATAGGTCTGCATGTGATAGATATCTTTTGAGCCATTCAAATAGAAGCAAACAAAAGACTAGACCTTCTGGAGTGATCATGATGTCCCCAATCTCTCTTGCAAAAGCAGTGAAAAATGATGCTGAGTTAGAAGGAATGAGGAATTCTCACTTGAGGTGATTGATTCTCTCCTATGGTACAAGATATTATGTTATTATATATTTGGCTGCCTTAGATGTCAGTCCTTGTTTGGATGAAACAGAGGAAGAGGAGTCATGTAGCTGACTCGTCTATTTGGATCAAGGTTTAGTTGAGTTCAGTTGATTATTTGTTTTCTTAATGTGGTTTTGGTCTCTAGTTACTACAGTGACGGCCTCATGTTAATTTTGAAATGAAATTTTTTTTTTTGGTGAAAAAGGAAATAGTATTGATCAAAAAACATGGCCCATTAAGATCTGGGAAACCAGATTCCCATAAGGTCAGCAATTTTGAAATGAATTTGCCAACTGTAATGAATCTGTTATAACTCCTCCACAGTGTTCTGATCTTCCGATTCTGATAGTTTGATTGGATGAAAGCATCAGGGTGCTCCATTGTAGACTTATCATATTTGCAGAGTTTAAATTCTTCTTTTTTTTCTTTTTTTCTTTTTTTGGTAATTTTAGCAGTGTATTATTAAATTCTTAATGATGTAATACCTTTTTATAACATAAGTTGCATATCCTTTTTTTCCAGATGTCTGCATGTTGGTACTCTGACTTTGGATATCATTGTCGTAACGAATTACCTTTTTAAACTCAAATTTAGGAATAAGAAGATGACACTCGTTAGTGCCTGTGGATGCATATTGTAGTTCCTCTTGGTGAAACTCATTATCTCAGTTGAGCTAAAACCTTCTAGCTTGTGTTAGTAGGATAAGATTTAGAAGGGACATAGTCACATGGATAACAAACTTTAAGAAGTATAGTGATGATGAACTGATAATGTATATACAGGGATGCGGCTGCTTTGGCACAGTTTTGGTTTTGGCTAGAAGAGCAAATTCGTAATGGTGTGGAACTGACAGAGGTAGATGTTGCTGATAAACTGCTTGAATTTCGTTCGAAACAGGCTGGTTTCCTAGATACAAGCTTTGATACCATAAGTGGTTAGTTAATTTCTGAATTATCAAGTACATGTTCTCCAGTTTTCCTGATTTAAATTAACATTTGATCACTTCAGATTCCTTGTTCATTTGCTATAATAAACAGCTGCAACCTTCTTCTGATTTTTGGAAGCAATAGTAAAATAATAGCATTCACAACCAAATATTGAAATTCTCATTACATTCGTTCTTTACAAATTTTATGAGTTTGAAAACTGCATTTAATGCCTTTGAGTCTTTGTATAAATTGATTTGTGGTATTCCTTATCCTTAGTGTAATTTCCAATTGCTATGTCTTTTTTTCTTTTTTCTTATGGGATCTTTATTTCCTTTTCTTTATGGGATCTTTATTTCCTTACAAAGCAAGGAATTATAAATTATCATCAAGCATAGATAGGTTTTCAGTCACTCATGGTTGTTATCCTGACTATGCATGACTGCTCATGGTTATTTGTTGATATCCAGTAAGGTTTTCAGGTCCTCTACAATGTCGTTTCTGTATCAAACATTAGGTCTTTCATGTCAAATTAAATAGATAATGACGTGTATACAACTTAGAAGCTTAGGCTTCAGCTTCAGCTTCATTATCTATATTCTGTAGGATAGTTTTAGTTTGCATTAAAGTGATTTGCCATGAACCAGTGTTTTCTCACATGCTTTCAACTTCATTATTAATGATAGATCTGATGTTACAGGCTCTGGACCAAATGGGGCTGTCATACACTACAAACCTGAACCAGATAGCTGTAGTGTTGTAGATCCACAGAAAGTCTTCCTATTGGACAGTGGAGCTCAATATATTGATGGAACAACTGACATAACCAGGACTGTGCATTTTAATGAACCTACTCCCAGAGAAAAAGAATGCTTCACTCGAGTTTTACAGGTGACTCTTTGCTCTTCAATGTTGTTTTGTGAATGTCCAACCTAAAACATTGGCAATAGGTGTGTGGTCTCTATTGTATTTATTTTAAATCCACAGGTTTCCCCTTAACTCACCTATATGGGATTTTCCCACTTAAACTCTTCCCCTCACTGTCATGTGGACTGATTAAATTCACTGATGTGGGATTTTCCCACTATTGACATTTGCCAATTTGTCATTCAAACTTGTCAATTTGGTTTGTCATGATAGACTATCAAATTGCAGGGTCACATGGCTTTGGATCGGGCTGTATTCCCGGAAAATACTCCAGGTTTTGTATTGGATGCATTTGCCCGTTCTGCTCTTTGGAAGATTGGACTTGATTATCGGCATGGTATCTATGCTTCCTATCCTTTGTCTTCACATAGGGATGGGAAAATTTTGCTAAATTAAAATTGTTGACTTGATTGTCATAAGGGCCACAACCAAGTTAGAAACATGGATTTCAGATCTTAGGTTTGAATCTTTTGTACAGAAAAAAAAGGGGGTGGGGGTGGAACTTACTTGAGTTTTTCGGTATGTATATTTCTCTCACAACAGACAATCTGCTTCTTTTTCTATGGATTAGGTACTGGCCATGGTGTAGGAGCTGCATTAAATGTCCATGAAGGTCCACAAAGCATTAGCTATAGATATGGAAATATGACTTCCCTACAGAAAGGCATGATTGTCAGTAACGAACCAGGATATTATGAAGACCATTCTTTTGGCATTCGGACTGAGGTAGAAAAGTTGTTCAGCTCTGTGTAGATGTTCTTCAGTTTCACATTAGCCTCTAACCAATCATTGCCAGACCTGGACAGCTGGGCAGTCTTTTTTTTTTCTTTCGGCCAAAGACCTGGACTGTCTAAGTTCCTTAGTATTTTTAATTGATTTTATGAGAATCCAGAATTGGATCATGGATGCCACTTCTTGTGAAAATGCAATTAGGTGGTGATTGAAAGTCAAAATTGAAAGTTGACCAAAAAAAAGTCAAAATTGAAAGAGAGCAGTAATCCTTTATCACCAGAAACTGCTAGAACCGTTTAAGACAATCAAAAAGGAATAGCAAACCCTCTTTTTGGTGTATGTGAAACTTATCTATTCTCTGATATAGCAGTATTCTTCTATTGAATGTCATCCATTTGTTTAACTGAAATCATTCTGTCTCTACTCTCTAGTGCATACCTAACATTTATAGGTTTCTTGCAGTACCTGGACTTGCAAATGCAAGTTATATGGACCAAGTGATGCTTGCTTGCTTGTTCTTGTTCCTAGGATTCCCATCTCTAATTGATTGTTATGTGAGCCTCTAGAAGAAAAATGAAAACGTTGTCTAGTGTTCCTTTGTTTTTGGATGGTATTTTAGTTTAGGTTCTAAAAAAACTTGGCTCAGTGTTCCTATGTTTTTGGAAGGCATTGTAATTTAGTCTGTCATCATTTTGCAGAATCTCCTTTGTGTGAAAGAGGTTGATACTCCCAATCGTTTTGGAGGCATTGGATATCTGGGATTTGAAAAACTAACATTTGTCCCCATTCAGGTATGCTATTTGTCTCATATATGCCAACACTTTCCTATCATGAATCTTCCTAGCAAGTTCTCTTAAGAGATTGAAATGTCAGTTAATCTACAACTTGGGTGTCTTTTAGCAGGAAGTGATGTTTTAAAGAAAATATCCTAAGTGATGATATAAGTGCCCTCCATTTCATGCATGGACTATTACATAAAATTCATCTTTCTCTTATCCCCTCCACTGAATCCTTTTTGATGTTCTATTTTGGACCTGAATTAGTTGCAAGCTGCAGAAAACTATTTATCCTTTTGAAGAAAACTAGTTATGGTTAAGCTATGAATTGATCAAGTGAAATAGTCTTCTCTTCAAGAGCCATGTGAAGGTTTTTGATCTTCTAGAGTGACTCAATTAATAAATCATTCAACGGTGCTTTCTTAATGAAACGCAGTTTCTGTTCTTTTTTTTTTCCGGAGTTAAGACATCATTTTAAGTTAGTACCCCATCCAGATAGGACTTTTAGTCTGCTTGATAAGAGCACTTGTTCTGTATCAATCAATGGTAAACACACTATTACATGATTTTAAAGCTTGTTTAGCCAAGATTAGATCTAGGGGTGTTTTATTATATAACAAGCCATGAGCAGAGATCCAGAAACATTTAATTCATACCTGTATTGAGGAGCATATGTTAAGGATTATTTCTGTTGTCATGCAGAGCAAGCTGGTCGATTTATCTTTGCTGTCTGCTGAGGAGGTTGAGTGGCTGAATGATTACCATTCACAAGTTTGGGAAAAGGTCAGTACACATATAAAATTGCCCAGTACCTGGTTTGCCCATTTTCAAAGGAGATTTTGATTAATGTATAAGCTTGTTTTCAATTTGCATATGTAACTCAATACCTAACGTAAGTTGTTCTTGCAGGTTTCACCATTGTTAGAAGGATCTGTTCGTCAGTGGCTTTGGGACAACACACGCCCGCTCGTGAAACAGTGATTGCCCTTTCACACCATCTCTTTGTAGTCATTTATTGTAGATCTTCAAATCTGTATGTTAAATTTGTTTAACATTTTCTAGACAACATTGATTCATGATTATGGAATGTTATACCATCCTTCTCAACATGAATTAACCATATATAAAAGCTTCCATGAAGGAAACAATACACGGGGAGCTGATACTCTATCGGGCAATCTATACCAAAAATTAAAGGCCAGAATTCAAGATGGATCATGTGGGGAACCAAATTAACAAAACGTCAAAAAATGAGGACTGAATTTTCAAGGTGTCACCAACCTCCTTTGGGCTGGAAGTGTCAGACAACGGAACAACGGAACTAGTCAATTTGGGTGAGAAACTTCTAATTTGCCTCTGTCCTGAAGAAGTTGCGTGACTGTCAGTCTCTGGAGAAAAGAGCAAATGAGTGTATTAAAAGACATCATACCTGGGAAACGAACTTTCAGCCTTTCAACTCACTTCTCCTAATAAAATCATCTGCCTTCTCAAGTATCCTTATCCAGTTGCCCATTTTTGCAAAGGTTATCCAGGAATGTGGTGCAAGTACTCGTGGTAGGATGTGACCTCTCTTAATCATAAACTCTAACAAAGCACTTGCTTCTACCAACATTGGTTCTTGGGAAAGAAAATTCACCTATGTGCTAAGATTAACTGTATCAGGATTTTAACCTCTTTGAAACATTAAGTTTAATAGTTCACTTCCTGATGCAGGACAGCCATGAATCTGTGCACAATCTCTTCTGGTGGGTTTAGGGATTAGAGATGAATTAGATGTTGCTTTCTGAGGTTTAATTGGGTAAAATAGAAACTAGCAAGCAACGGACAGTAATTTGAGTTGCTGTATCAGTAAGAAAGGAGAGATGAGGAATGAGATTAAGAATGGAATGCAATAGAACCCAAAATTCTCCAAATAAATCCATAATTTCAAAAAACTCAACCATTATTAATGGCTAAAGATTTACAAGTAGTAAATTCTAATCCTAATTCAATTAGGATTCCTAAAATCCTTAAAATTTAGGAATAAACCCAATTCTAATTAACTATAGGCCTAAGAACTGTAATAAAAGACTGATTAACTTACAATAGAAGGCCTTATAGAAATAGAAAAATGTGATAAACAAATTGCAAATTAATTCTTCAAAATTGCTTAACAATCCAAACTAATGTAAATTATTCTTTCTTGTGTTCTTCCTTAACTGCATCACTTGCTTCCTCTTCCATCCCTCTTTCCTTGCAAAGGGCATCAATAAAGGAGTGATAAGTAACTGTATTAGGCGGCTGGCCTCTCTGAATCATTAAGTCAAACAATCCCTTTGCTTCTTCTAATCTCCTTCCTTCGCAAACTGCATTTATCAAAATATTAAACGTAAAAGTATTAGGGTACTGACCTCTCTGAATCATCAAGTCTACTACTCCTCTTGCTTCATCTAACCTTCTTTCTTTGCAAAGTGCAATAATCAATGTGTTATAAGTAATTGAGTTAGGATGCAGACCACTCTGAATCATCCAATCTAACAATCTCATAGCTTCTTCAATCCTCCCTTCTTGGCAAAAAGCCCCTATCAAGACATTGAATGGCTCCACATTCAGCTTCATTCGTCCATCCACAATCTCACTCAATAACCCTTTAGCCTCCTCTAAATAACCCCTGCCACAAAAAGCATGAAGTAAAGAGCTATAAACAACTAAATCAGGAGATAAACCCCTCTCCTTCATCTCCAAGAAAAGTTCTTTTGCCTTTTCTAGCATACCATCCTTACAAAGTCTAACAATCAAAGTCCCATAACTAATTACATCAGGCTGACAACCAAACAACACCATTTTCCTGAACAACCTTATAGCTTCACTAATCTTCTCACTTCTACACAACCCCCTAACCAAAGTGTTGAAAGTCACTGTATCCGGTCTATAACCGTCCCTCAAAATCCTTCCTAAAGCCGCATAACCATCACAAACTTCAGCCGTATTACAACAGCAATTAATCAAGATGTTCAAAGTTCTGAAATTAGGAGAAACCCCAATTGAATCAAATCTTTTGTAGAACGAAATCACATGATTATAATGCCTAACCTTAGCAAGAGCAGCTAGCAACGCATTGAATGCCGAGACTGGAGGAGTTGGTTTAATGCGTATCATGTAATCAAAAAAGCGACACGCTTCGTCGAGAGTAACGATACCTGACTTGCATTTCGTCTTCAGAAACTTCTGGAGTGAAGCTTGGTTTTGAACGGTATTAGGGACAGCTGGATTGTCGAGGAAAGATTTGGAATTTGAAGCAGCACCTCCGAAACCAACCGGAAGCGAAGAAGAAGAAGAGGTAAGTATCTTTCTTTTGGCCATTTTTCTGGAGGAGTTCTGTAGTTGTCTCCGGTGGAAGCCTAAATCTTCATTTCCAGTTGGATTGTCGAGGAAAGATTTGGAATTTGAAGCAGCATGTCTGAAAGCCGCTGGAAGTGAAGAAGAAGAAGGGAGTGAGTATCTTTCTTTCAACCATTATTTGGGGATTTCTGAGGCGGTCTGTGCCGGAACCCTAAAACCTTCATTTCCCGGTGATGGGTTTTTCTTCTGCGTCGTCGGAAAATTTTGGGCCGATTGATTTGAAACAATAAATCTTTTGCTCGAAATTAGTACTAAAGCCCAAAATGTATTGGGCCCATTTGTAAGATATGAATTGTTTCGGTTTTCTGTTCACAAGATGTCCTAATGTGCATTGCGTGCACTAGTTTATAATTTTAATTAATATATGGTTGTTTCTGTTTTGTGCATAGGGAAAAGAAAAAATTAGGATGTTTTAGTATTTTTAATAATAGTAATATGATAAATTTGATAAAATTAAATATTATATTATATTTTATATATTTAGTAATTATAATTAGATATCTTAACATTTTTAATGATGAAACATCCTAATTTTCTTTTGTCCTTGCTATAAAATGAAAAAAAGTTATAATTGTTAATTAAATTTCATTATGCATAATTTTAAAAGTCATTTGTCTCAAGCATTTTAAGCTGAATTCTCAAAGTTAGACATTTACAATCATTTCATCCACCTTTTGGGGTATTACATTTATCACATTTGTGCATATTTTGCTTGGGCAGGAAAAGGAAGGTTTGATTTTTAAGGTTTGGGCTCTGTAGTTGGTGATTTAGATAGTCTTGATTTTTAAATTATTTAAATATTTAAAGATAAGAGATTAGATGTGGGCCCAAGTAAGTGATAGTTAACTCATCTTATGAAAAAAACTGGGCTTAGATGAGTTTTAAGTTTGGGGCTTTAGGTTTTGTAGTTTGGTATTTTTTGGGCATTTATATAGTCTTAATTTTTTTTAATTGTTTAAAAATTTGTAAGATATGATGTAAGTTACACTAGTATAATTCGATCCGATTCTTGTTTCTATAATTTAAATCATAATTTTTTTAAAATACTCTTTAAGAACATCTTGCATTTGTCGCCGACGCAGAAAAATCTCTTATCAGTTCGATAGTATGACCTCAACATGCACGTGAAAGTGGCTTGGTCTTGGAAAGGGTAATATGCGTATGGAATTTCTTTTGTGATGGTGATCTCAACTTGCTCGGTGTTGGAAATTGTATTCTTTATTTAGTTTGATTCTGACTTCATTTCTCTAATGAGGTGATTCTCTTTCTCCAAATGTTACATTATCACTATTTCTATTATATTATTCAATTCATTAGTTGAAACCCTTCACATTAATGTTGAAACTCACGAAAGATTCTTCAAAACTACATTCATATTACTCTCTCTCTATTTTAAAACGTAAATCATTTAATTTTTTTTTTCATAATTTTAGATAATATTTTTTTATAATATATGAATAATAATTGAGATTTTTTCATTTTTTTAATAGAATTTTTGTTAAATAATTTTATTTGACTGATAAAATTTTAATTATCAATTAAATATATTGTAAAAAAATAAAACTTAAAAATACATACAAAAAAGTTAAATAATTATATTTTGAACAGAATGAGTATATTTTATTCCTTAGAAAATTAGAAGTGAGCCCAAAATGAATAAAAAAACAAAAAGATAAGACTGCCCCCCAGCATGGAGAGACTCACCAATGATTGAGGAGATTGGTGTTTTTTATTTTAGACTAGCAAAATAAAATATCAATTTGTGACGGAAATGTCAATACTATCTTTAGCGAGTCAGTTTGGTACATGAATGCATTAAGGGACAGTAATTTCAATTGGTGGTATCATCAGTGTTTGCACATGAATGGCGAGAAAGCAGTGTTTTTAATTAACATATTGAGAAAAATGAATTCTGGCTAGAGGAGAGGTTCATGCACATATCATTGTCCTCCTGTTGGCTGATAAGCCAAGTTGAATTATATATTCTTGTGATTTTATGGTGTAATGTCACTAGCTGTGAACTTCTTTTATGGACTTTGTCCCACTCTCGAACAAAACAGTTACACCCTCTGTTTTTCTTTTTCTTTTTTTCCTTTTTTTTATTCTTTTTAATATGATTGTAGTTTTTGAGTTTTGATTTTTATATTTTATATATTTAATAACTACTACTATATTTAAATTAAATTTAATAAATTTTAATTTATAAATATAATATTAATTACTAAGTATATAAAAATGAAAACTCAAAACTCAAAGCCAAAACCATACTACTAAACAAGCAAAACCTCATTTAACTCATGCTATATGTTTGATTTAGTGGATTTAAAAAGATTGAAGAATTATATATAATTAAACTCTTATCTTTCTATTTCATAAAGAGTTTGGTAATTGTAATTTAAATATACATTTCACGCATTTAATGTTTCCTGTACTCATTTAGCTCATTTAAGTTTCAATTAAAATTATTAATGCTATACACTTCATGTTTGATCTAACAAATTTGAAATGATTGAAAAATTATGATTAGCTTTTATCTCTTCCATCACTTAGAGAGTTTGGTATTTGTAATTCACAATGCATTTAATCATATAATATTTT